TGAAGGCCTTCTTATTATATTGAGGATCATCTATCCATAAAAGATTTTTTTTCTGAACAGATTATAATTTTAGAGAGGAAAGATTTCAATCCCAACTTTAGAATTGAAAAGATGCACCATATAATGAGATACATACGAAAGTATATACTAAAACAGATAGAAAAAGGTGTGAAGGGAGAACTAATTAATTTTATTGTATAAAAGATAGGAAAGGGTGTGGAGGGAGAACTAATTTTATTGTATAATTCATACTCTAATGTGTTAGAGAAAAAATGAATGCCTTCTTATTATATTGAGGATCATCTATCTATAAAAGATTTTTTTTTGAATAGATTATAATTTTAAAGAGAAAAGATTTCAATCTCAACTTTTGAATTGAGAAGATGTACCATATAATGAGATACATATAAAGTATATAATCATCGGCCATAAAACTCAGCTGCCATTAAGTGTTTCATTATTTTTTCAAAATCAACTGCAAAAACAGTATTTTGTTAAGGATAAAGGAAATGTGAGACAATGTGGACAAAAATACAAGATACAATGAGAAGTTTGGAAGCTGAATAATTTCAGCATAATTTACATCCCACCGGCAACTCAGAGTGTCCTCCGACACCGTGGAGAACAAGAAAGAAAATACTAGCAGCCAATTTAATGAGCGCAATATTCAAACAGAAAGTGCTGTCGGCCAGAGGAAAAGAACAGGAAATGCTGGAAACAGGACACCGATCATATCCTATCTGATCAGGTGTATTTAATGAAATGGGGCCGCCTTCCTTCGGTGGAATGTGTAACTTGCGAATAAGAGAAAACCCACGAATGAATGGTTACCATTTTTTTTATTTTAAAAGCACAATTACATGTGTATGGAGGAGTAGAAGCCTGAGTTTGAAGTTACAATGATGCAGGTACACTAACTCGGTAAATTAATCACCTAGCAAAATTTATCTTGGATCATTAAGATTGTTGGTTTTCACCTCGCCAAGAACTAATGTACATTAATTAGGATTCTTCGTCCTCTACCTGCTTACTTGTTGATCTTCTGTAACTCCTAGTGTTCCATCTTCTGCCTCTTAAGACGGCTTCTAGTTCTTGAATCTGAGTTGAATCTGGTTGGAAAACTGCTTGGAATCTGGATAGTAATTACAATTTATTTTGTTGCTAATTTCTACCCCTTCACCAATGCTCCCAGTCAAAGACGTGGATTTTTAGTCTCACGAAAAATTATTGTGGTTGAGGGACTATTGAAAGTTAAATATGGAAATTTCAATATAAGATTCAAATTTAATGTAATAATTTTTTTATATTTAATTTATGTATATTTTTATTATGTTCTTAATATAATTTTTTTTTAATACGTCTCTTACTTATAAATCTATTATAGATGTTAAATTCTACCATCTAACTTGATACATTTCTTTACATACAGCTCTAATAACGAGTTTCTTCAGGACGAAACCTGCGATGCTATGGAATAATGGCAGCCATGGAGAGACCTCAAAGGAGACAACCGATTCTGGATGGTACAATGATATTTTACGTGTACGTGCTTGTGGTAGAAGGAAGAGGCATCAAATTTGTGTACATGGGCCACTTTGGTAATAAAAGTACACCATTCCACCTCAATAATTCGGAACCATGGCAGCAAGTATGCTGTTGCGTCGTTGGAGAATGACAGAATGCCAAATGCATCCAACAACCCAGGTCGGTAAAATAGGCCAAAATAGATGGTACTCTTCACTGTCATAATTTAATGCCAGGTAATTTTTTTGTTGTACGTTTGTGTTCAGTGCTTATTAATTGAAAAAAAAAAAAATTCAGGTTAATTTTGTGCTTTCATTTGGTGAAACAATTTATAAATTCTGAATTCTGTTACGTGAGTTATGAGGGATCCAATCGTCTATGATATTATGTAAAAATAAAAGATGTTACTATAAAATTTATATTTAATTAAAAATTAATTAATAATTTATAAAATAATCATTGTATTTAAGTTATATA